GACAGAAGTTCCCAAGGTGAATGACACTGTCCCCAAGGCGCTGGTATTACTCATTTACAAGGGAAGGAATAAAAAAAAAACTCACATATTGCAGGTCCTCATACCTATAGAGGGTTGCGGTACATAAACACAGTCTGTTTAATGTCCCAGGGCTCAGTGACTAAGAAGCCACCATCAGAAGTGGGAAGGGGGCTGGGGATGTAGCCCAGGGGTAGAGCACTTGCCTAGCATGTACAAGGCCTGGGTTTAAACCCCAGTACTCACTCCATGTACAAAGCATTCTGTGAAGATCCAGGCTGTAATTTTGGGTGACCCTTTTGTAACACTACACTATTGATTTGGGGGTGGGTGTTGACACAGCTCAATATTTAAATATGGTGGAGGAATACTTAGTTTTCATCCAGTCGGTGTCTGCTGTTCATGCATTTCCTATGAAGAACAAGAGCTGAGCATCTTTCAAAACAGTGCTTCCCACACACACCCATAGGGCCGTCCTCACAGGTCACCTCCAGGCTCCAGCCAGCACCAGACCACATCCTCTCTCCCCAGGAGGGAGAAAGACATCAAGGACACCTGCTGAGTTGGGCCTGTGCTCCTTCATCCCCCACGGTCTTCCTGTGGCTAAGACTCAAGGGCACACCCATGCCCCCGGGGCCTGTGGTGGGCTCGGTGGTGAGTTGGCCTGATGACCCTCAAACCACAGTTCAGCTGTGGCATCAACATGACTCCCAGGAGGAGTCATCAATGTTGAGAGTCACAGGTGACAGTCACTTCTGAGTCCCCCTTCCCTGCATCTCTCCCAAGGCCCTGCATCCAGGCACACAAACCACAGCCACCATGCACTCACACTAAGGAAGTGGTAGAGATGGCCTACATTCTTGTCCTACTTCGGCACTTCTAGATGCATCTTGAACAGCCCAACTCTGTCTCCTTCCTGCTAGGGATTCACCTTCACCAAAACCAGCTATGTCTAAAATGCATGAGCACCCCCAGGCCCACACTCCGAGATTCTCAGACTGCAGACCCTAGTGGGCCCTATGAATACTTGCTGTTATCTAAGTGTACAAACGCGTGAAAATGTTTAATTTACAAACTAAACCACTGACAATAAAAAGAAACTATTAAAGGAAAAAATGTGTAAAGCTATTTCTTTCCAGAATTTTCCACTTCATATTTTGGGCTGAAGTTGAACAGAAGAACCCGAAGCTGGAGATAAGTGAGGTGACTGTAAACTTTTGGTTGTCCTGGAATTGACACGTGAACTTGACTCTTCTCCCAACTTTCGCCTCTCTCACATCTGTTTCTCAAAGGCAGTCAAGGTCATCTTCTCCAAACATACCCAGCTCGTTGCTGCTGGAAAACCCTAACACCACCTGCTGCTCTGACCTCAGGGCCACCGTCACCTGCTGTTCCCACTCCCGAAATGCTCTTCCTTCAGACTTTCCTGTGGCAATGCCACCCTCCAGCTCCTAACCTGTGTGACTTCCCTCCTTTGTCATGATTCACTCCCTTAAACATTGACATCTACACTTCCATCTGTCCCCGAACATAACAAAAATGCCCCAAGCCAAGGCTTGTTTCTTATCCCTCCCCCAAAAGCCTAGGGCAGTGCCTGGCTTGGGAGGCAGCCAGTGAATACTTGGAGGTCTGGGTATGAATGGTGGAAGAGATCAGAGGCCGAGGACGGGTGGGGGGGGGGCGGGAATGAAGTGGGAAGACAGGTAAGCTGGAGAGGATGGTGAAGGGATGGGGGAAGGACTTGGTTGCTGGACCAGCTGCCTTATGTAGCCTGAACTGTCCAGGCACAATCTGAGGCTTCAGTAGGTCCATGAGCCAGGACAAACCAGGTTAGCATTACAGACCACATGTCAAGGGTGGAGGAAGAGGACCTGCTGCACCAGAACGTCCCTCATTTCCCCTCCCAAGGCGACTTTGCCAGCATCTTTAACCTCCAGAGTGAGAAAAGCAGACAAACTCTCTGCCCGAGAAGGAGCAGGCGCCAAACAGGCAAGAGCACGCAGGACTGTAGCTCAGAGGAGGGACACGCGGCAGGGCACTTGATCATAAGCCAAGTTTGGAGACACCAGGGTGTGGAGCTCCTTGGACCCAGGGGAGAGGTTGGGCAAACTTCCAAGGTCAATGTTGGCCTCTGTGCAGAGACTCATGTGCACTGTTCCCTGCTCACACACTGCCCGTGTGTGGCCTATGGTCTGGGCTACCGGCTCTGGCTTCAAGGAGAGAGACCCCTTTGAATGACAACCGAAAGGACCCCAGACCCAGGCACCCCCAGGCAGCCAGAAGCATGTCTTGAGTCTGTCTGTCTGCTTTACACCCCAAACAACAGATCAAGAACCCCATGCCACCGAGGAGATGTGTGGGGGAGTCCTGGGTGTAGGAGCCTTTCTTGAGGACCCAAAGCCCTGGCAACCAAGAGGCAAACTGCACCCACATTTTCTGAGTTCACCCCAGAGCACACCAGGCCTTACCAAGCAGAGGTTTGGGAACAAAGCAAGCCAAACACCAAATGAAATGGCCGATGACACCTTGCTGCCTTGGGGACACATGGCTCAGGCCCAGGGAGACAAAGCATACATGGAGAAGAATGTAGCATTTGAGGGGGCCAGCGCTGGGCTGCAGGGCCAGAGCTGCTGTTGGGCCACACCTCGAGGACTATGAGCTGTCAGAGAACAGAAGAAGCTGGGAATGGCTCCCCTCAACGTGTGTGATACGTTGCTGTCTAGGAAGTGCCAGGGCACCTCCTGGTCTTCCAGATTTTTCTAAATGTCAACCAGGACAGCCAGGGCTCTGAGAAGTCCCGCAACAACCCAACCTTTTCACCTTCTAAATCCACAGCCCCCTTCCTGCAGAGGAGTCTTCCCAGTTACAGGGAGGAGGCTGGGGGGGTCACTAACACTGGGAAGAGGCACTGAGGAAAAGCCTCCTACAGTGGAAGCCATCGATGCTCAGGTCTCTCCATGTCTGAGATGAATCATGTTGGGGGAGGGAGCTCACCCCAACACACCTGTGAGCCTGCCTGTGTCTAGAAAGCCACCTCCAGAGGCCCCATGGGGCCCCCAAACCCAGCTGCTTCCCCTGTAACAGGAGCCACCCCACCTGTACATGTGTGGCTGTGGCAGACACAGACGACCCACCTCTGACCCACTGAGGTATCTACCTGCAATTCTGTAACTGAGGTGGCTAGCATGCCTCTTTAATGCAAGATGGTGGTGGGATTGGGAGGGGCTGACGCATCTCTGCTCCCAGGGACCAAATCAACCCCTCCCAGAGGCTGCTGGGAAACACTTGCCCTGTCCAGACATGAATCCCTAAAGCACCTTGCCTCCCATGGGGTCAGTCACCCGCCTCTACATGGAGTGAGGCCAGTTTTACTCGGGGGCTCTGGGAGCTGCTACCATTGGCTGGTGCTCTCTTGAGCACTGTTCGCCAACAACTCTCTTTAAATCAAGCAGCAAGACTGGCTGTCACCAAGGTCCAACCTTCACAGATGGAGCATGCCCAGGTCATCTCAGAGCAGTCCCTCACTGGTGCGTCTGACCCCAGGCTCCATCGCTACTCACACACAGCATCGCTATCAGGTGGGTCTGCCCAGGCACGAGGGGCAGCACTTTGTTAATTGTCCCCAAAGATCTTTGTCACTCTGGGTGACAGTTCCATCACAGAGATGAGATCATTGCTGACAGATGAGGTCAGAAGTGTCAGAATACCTGGTAGCCAGGATGGGCAGGACTTCAAAGACTCTGAGCAAACAGCATAATTTCCTGTCACCCACATGTCTGCAATCAGTCCCAGGTCTCCATGGTAACCACAGCACCTATTCTAGAGCACCTACCTTGCTTCCTGTTGGGCTCCTAGGAGTTAATGGTCCTAAGTTACTGTGCTTTGGGGGGTTGGGTTGGACTATCCTCAATCCAAAACTCTAAAATGCTCTAAAATCCAAAATGTGAGTGTCAAAATGATCCCAGGAAGTTTCAAATTCTTGATTTCTCCAGATTTCAGATTTGGGGGTTAGGGAGGCAGCAGTGGCAACACAGTGTTAAAGAGTATCCCCAACTCCGGACCACTTTCGTCCCTGGATGTTCTGGGTGCGGGACACTCCACCGTGTACCAGCTGCTACTGCCCATGAACTGTGAGCTGTGGGGCTGGGGGTAGGGAGCAGCTGGCCACTTAGGGTTTCTTTCTCCACTTCAGAAACCACCAAGCCAGATTTCTCATCTCCTGGAGCCTCAAAGGGGAGAGAAGTCTCTTCTGCCTGCCCCGCCCTCTCTGCCTTCAGGTGAGTGTAGCCTTCCTCTGAGAGCCCAGCCAACCCGTCTCGGCTGCTCTAACGAGCCATGTCTCTGTGCAGGCCATGTGCCCACGCTGGGGGTACCTCACACAAAGCCCTTCTCCCATCCTGTCCCTGTCCCTGCCAGGCCATCAGCGGAGCTCGTCCCAGCGGAAGGAAACCCATCGCTAACCCCCATCAATGGTCTCTGTGTCCGGGCAGCACGTGCCAGAGCTGCCCGCAGCCCCCATTCATGCTCCGGATAGAGCCCCTTTCAAAGCTGTGCTCCCTCCTCACGCCCCGCCCCTCCCCCATGCACACAAGAGGGCCACAAAGTGGGGGTTTTCCTCCACAGGAAAGAAAGGAGTCTTCCGTGCCTTCTGCTTTCCTGTCGTCCATCTAAATCTGGCCACGGAAAGAGTGTGGAAGTGGTGAAACAGACCCAGTTCATGACCTCAGGGGACACTCCAGTGGCCAGAACTCCCTTCACTGGCTTTTCCTATCGGAGTGGTGGGAGGGGACACCTATGACGACTGGTCCCCGCTCCCAAGCTCCCTCGGGGAGACGGGGTGTGTGTGTGACACTAAAGGTTATCCTGTATTGGCCCTCAGGGTAAGATGAGATACTGAGGACCAAGGAGGTGGCAGGGCAGACTGGGCCGTATGGGGCGGGGGTCTTCCAGAACGGGGCCACTGAGCCGGCACAGCTCCTTACCGTCATCCAGGTAGGTCTGGTCCAGATTCTGTTCCTGTTTGACCGTCACTCCAGTGGGCACAGCGTCCTTGTGGTCACTGACTGGAGGTCCGTTTTTGGTAGCTCTTTGGCTCAGGGCAGTCTGTTGCTGGATGACTGTGGGGTAGGAGCCTGGGCTCAGCCTCTGGCCTTGGCTGACGGGAGGAGGGCCAGGCCTGGCAGCGCTGGGGCCGAAGTTCTCACAGTACATGATATGCTGAAACTCCTGGTGCCCCCCTCCGCGAAGCTGCTGGTTGGTGGGTGAGCAGTGGATCACGGGAGAGGCCTGCTGGCTAGCCGAGGATGTGTGTGGCAGGGTGGAGCCCTGGCCCTGGGCCTGAGAGCCAGCATGCACTAGCACAGAACGGTGGGCATCAGCCAGACCCAAGGGTGCTGCCAGGAGGGTCGGCTGCTGGTAGCCCAGCAGGCCGGGACTCAGGCTCTTGCTCCTCTGGTAGAGAGCTGCTGCGGGGCTCTGCTGCTGGTAGCGGGCATCGGGGGATGAGAGCCCCGAGCGGAACTGTTGGCAGGGGGCCATGGTAGCCACAAGACAGGAGGGCGACTCAGCCAGCATTGGGTGCTGTGGGTAATACGGCTGGCTCCCCAGGCCCCCGTGGGCCGGGCTGCAGATCAGAGACGGGTCATACTCGTCGTTGGGCTCCGTCTTGATGGCCGGGACTGTGGGAGAGAAAAGACAGGCTGCAGCAGTCGTGGCTACGTGTGAGTGTGCGCACCAAGGAGGAGGGACGGCGACTGGAAGCCTGGTTTGGGGGCCCAGTGCGTGGGAGCATGGCTGCTCTGATGCTGGCCCCAAGGTACCCCATGAAATTCTCTTCAGTGAAACTTGACCTTGGCAATGCTCTTGAAATAAGGCTTTCCCAGCTGTGGATGGATAGAGGAAGGTTGTTATCTGTGCAGCCTTATTACCCAAGGCTGGAGCGTAGAGGAGAAAGGGTGTGGCGACTCCCCCGTCCCTTTACCCATGTGTCCCCATCATCTCCCTGCTGTGCTTCCTCCTCCTGGACACTGTCCAACACAGTGATGTTCAACTTTCACATGAGGTGAGTGTGAAGACCCGCCCTGTATGAGGACAGCAACATGCCAAGGGCTGGGTTCCTCGACTGAAGAAAAAGCATGCTTTCTCTGTTTCCTGATTGTGACGCCATGTGACCAGCCCTGTTTCCTGACTGTGACAATGTGACCAGCCACCTCCCGCTCCTGCTGCCATACCTTCCCCTCCATGAAAGGCGGTGCCCCCTCTCAATGCTAAAATAAAACCTTTGTCCCTTACGTTGCCTTTGTCGGGGACTGTTCATAGCAAGTCCAAACATCCTCCCTCACTATCGCCAGGCTCAGGAGGGAGGGACGACTACACAAATGATCAACGGAGACGACTGTCACCAAGTGTGGGTGGAGCAGCCTCCCGAGAGTCAGGGGTGGAGGAGGCAGGACTACAACTCTGACTCCAGGTCCCCAAGACCACGTCTGCAAATGCCATTCAAAGGGCAGCGTCTCAGTTCTGGAAGCTAAAGACCTGAGGGGTGGACCTTGCTGGGGTTTCATTCCACCAGCCAAGCACCGATGCTCAGCCCAGGGAGGCCTCGCTACTGCAGACAGGGGGGGGGAACAGCAGAGAGCAGAGATGACAGCCTCCTTGCTGAAAGGACTGTTACACATGCACGGCTTGCACGGGTTCTCCCTGCAGCTTACACGGGTTCTCCCTGCAGCTTTGGGGCCCATGGAATGTCCCTTCTGCTCCTCACAGCATGTCACATTAGTCCTCATGGTGGCATCTTCATAGGAATCATGCAAGTCTACTATGCACCCTGCGGAATCTGAGCCCACCAAGGCCCGATGTGTGGACCAGCCAGGGACAGTGTGGCACTAGGGGTTTCAGGGCTGGGATTACGGGTTTACAGGCCAGTGGCCCTTCCCTAACCTGGAGGGGTGTAGGTGGGGGCTTTCCCAAGGGTGAGTCAATTTATTCTGCAACTGCCGTAGTTACTTAACCTATCAGTTGCCTAGGAGTTGTCACTGGAAGCACTCTGTGAGGTTAGTTCCACTTTCTCGGGCCTACAGAATTTCATGAATGAGACCTTCTAGTCTGGGTGTGCCTCAAGTGACTCCACCCATGTGGGGACAGTCAAGGACCCTGAGAGTTCTAGAGCATGTCCACCTTGACCCAGAATGTGATCAAACCTCAGGCAGGGAGGGGCAGCAAGAGGCATCTGCTCGCTGTCTGTCTGCAAATGTCCGTTCCCACCGCCAAGGAGAGCATGGATGACGATGGCAGCTGGCACCTGGCACCAGGCTCACGCAGGGAAGTGCCTTCCAACACCGAGGCTCAGAGGGGTGGGTCATGTCCCCAGGTAACCCAGCTGGGAGCAGACCTCGGGGGTCCTGAGCCCTGGCCAGTGCTGTCTGCGAACCTGGGGTGTCGGGGAGAACGCTCACCTGGGTGGTAGGTAAAATGCTGTGGCTGACTTCGTTTTCTCTTTCCGTTGATGACATAGAAGTTCACTTTCACGGGTACGCGGATGTGCTTGTTCCGATACTCAGGAATCTCAACAAAAAGCATGTTCTAGAAGGAAGCAGTTGTCATGAACATGACCGCATACAGCCATACAGGATTCTACCAAGATCCCAACCAAGTCCACCTACTGCAGGCTTCATTCCCCACATTCACAGAGAAATTTGATCGAAGGGAATTTGACTTTTCATCCCAGCAAGGAAAGTTGATCTAGCAAAGTGTGTGAAGATCAACAACAAACCAGGGCCACAAACCAAAGTGCCTAGGGCTCCATGAGTGGCCAGCTCACTAAGTGCAGTTTGTTCTTGCTGAGTAACTATCAAGTTCACTGTGGGGAGGAGGCAGGGAAGGAGGAGGGAGGAAGAGCGACAGGCGGGAGGGTGGGGGAGAGGGGAGGGTCGGAAGAGGGAGAGGGAGAAAAGAGAAGGAAGGGAAGGAGAGAAGGAAGGAAAAGAGGAAGGAATGGAGGGACACAGAAGAGGGGGAAGAAAATAAAGAGGGACGGAGGGAGGAGGAACAGGGGACAGAGACCTCAGCGGGAACTCTGAGCTCTGGGGGTCGTCTTGGGGGCTTACAGGCTGGCTCTTGTCTTTATCCACTGTGGCTTCCATCTCCCAAACCTGCTGCCCATCTGGAAAACACAAAAGCAACAGCCTTTGAAGGAACCATGAGAAGCCAACAACGCGAGACAGAGCCTTCAACCCACACTCTCCATCATGTCCCTTTAGCCTGGGGTGTCGGTGTGCAGGTGTTCGTGTGGCGGGGGACGGGGAGGGAAGGAGGGGATGTATGTGTGTGAGAATGTGTATATGTGAGAGAGTTGTGTGAAAGGAGTTGCGTATGTGTGAGAGTTGTGAGAGTTCTATGTGTGAGAGAGAATTTTATGTGTGAGAGAGAGTTCTATGTGTGTGAGAGAGAGTTGTGTGTGTGAGAGAGAGTTGTGTGTGTGAGAGAGAGTTGTGTGTGTGAGAGAGAGTTGTGTGTGTGTAAGAGAGTTCTATGTGTGAGAGTTGTGTGTGTGTGAGAGAGTTCTATGTGTGAGAGAGAGTTGTGTGTGTGTGAGAGAGAGTTCTATGTGTGTGAGAGAGAGTTGTGTGAGAGAGAGTTCTATGTGTGAGAGAGAGTTGTGTGTGAGAGAGAGTTCTATGTGTGAGAGAGAATTTTATGTGTGAGAGAGAGTTCTATGTGTGTGAGAGAGTTGAGTATGACAGAGTTGTACAAGTGAGAGAGTGCATGAGAGAGTGTGTGTGAGAGATGTGTGTGTGTGTGTGTGTGTGTGTGTGTGTGTGTGTGAGTTATGTGCGTTTGAGAGAGTTGGGGGCTCCACATACTCAAATAGTTCTTTTTGCAGAAGAGAAACACGTTGCCAGTAGAAAACTCAGGAGTAAATAAGCAAAAAAAAAAAAAAATGTCTGGGAGGAACCGCAAACTCCACCACTGTAATCTCTTCATTCCAAATGGCTATTTCCCTTTCTTAAAATCAAGTCTGTGCTCCATGGCACCTGATAACATTTGTCTATTTCCAAAAGGTCCCCAATCCCAAGGTTGTCTTGGGAGCCTCGTTATGGTCCTGGCTTGTCACCAACGTCCCCTCATCTGAGAACACAGGTGGTTTAGCTGTCCCACTGTAAATCAGGACAGAGCAGGTGGCCTGGGGATGCCTGACTCACAGGTCATCAGGAGGTGAGGGAACCCCTAAGCCCACTCCATGCTCCCATGTGAGTCACCATAGCAACGAGTCCGCTCTGCTCAGCAATGGCCTCTCCTCCTTCTCAGGGGTAGAGGACCGTTCACTTCCCCAGTCTGAGGCCAGCAAACCGGGCCAAACGAAACTCTTTATTTTCAAATTATAGATTTCTCTCCTGACCACCTCCACTGACCACTGGGCAGTCTTCACTGAAACAAAGCGTTTCCATGAGGGCTTCCAGGGTGTTTGTGGAGCGTGAATGCTGAAGGATATTAAATAATTTTATGAGAAAGGGAACATTCTTGAAGCTAGTAAACGCTTGGAAAATGCTGAGTCAACGTGCAATGGGTTCCTCGACTGGGCAGAGGCTCCAACACGCTCGCTTCAGTGGGCTGCAAAACAGAGCACACCCCAACATCTGTCCTCAGAACCCCACCTCTTCCTGGAGCAAAGCTGTTAGTGTCTGCTGTAATCACTTAGGACTCCCAGCTCTGAGAGCCCACAGAAAGATGTGGGCTGTGAGCAGCATTTGAACTTACTGGCCTAGGAATACCTCCCCCCCCCAAAAAAAAACCCACAACCTAACAAAAATCCTGTAATTGCTACAAAGCAGGTGTAATTGGAGGTTCTCATGGCAAGGGATAGGCCAGAGTGCTAGGCAGCAGCCAGGCTTCAGTCTTGGCTTTGTGGTTCAATGAGGTACAATTCTGAACTTGGACTACAGCAGCCACATGAAAGGCCAGATATGGCCACACTTGTGCCTGTCACCCAGTGCTGTAGGAGTGGATACAGGATGGTCTCTGAGGCTCAGCTGCCAGCCTAGCTCTAGGCTCAGTGAGAGACCCCAGCTCAAAACAGTAAGATGGAATGTGATGGTCAGGGCACACAAAGCCCTCCCCTGGCTGCCACTATGGCACATACAGGGAGGTGCAGGAGCACACACACACACACACACACACACACACACACGTATACACACCACACTCCCAAAGTGAGATGCAGAGTGACAGAGGAAGATGGCCAACATCAGACTCTGGCCTTCACATGCACACAAACAGATGCAGGTGTTCACACACATGTGCACAAACACACATACATGTGTATATATAACACACACCCAAAGTAAGAGGGAGGACATCAACCTCTGGCCTCATATGTACAAACAGATGAAGGTGCTCACAAGCAGGCACACATGCACACATGCGTGCACACACACATACACATGTGCACACACATATGCATATGCACATGCACACATGCATGCACGCACACACACGCACACACATACACATATACACATGCATGCACACACACGTGCACACACATACACATATACACATGCACACATGCATGCACACACACATGTGCACACACACACACATGTACACACACACACAGGTAACAGAGGAAGGCGAGTACAGTCATTCTTCCTTGTCTTAGAACCAGGCAGAAGGGACCAGGTGACAAGCCTTGGTTGTCTACTGACCATGTTGTAAAGAAAAAAAAATGGCCATATTTGGATACACAAAAATGTCATCAGGTGTAATGACTGCTGAGGAGCCACTCCAGAGGCAGGAGGGATGGGGGCCAAACGGACACCAAAGGCGCCTGGCCAGAAGCCATCAACACTCAGTTCTGCAGTGTCCAAAGGCCCAGACTGAACTAGTCAGGGGTATCCTCATGTTTATGTCAAAGGCAGGCCAGAGACCCAGGCTGCACACCAGGCTCTGTGGGTTCCAGCCTTGCTCACTGACTGCGGTGTGAATGCTGAGCCAGAAGCCCATGTGGGGTGCAGTAAGGGGCACCCCTCTTGCCCAGCTTCTCACTCCCTGAGCTCAATTCCACATGAGCCTCCCCGCTTGGAGGAGCACTGGGGAGGCTGAGGTAGGGGCTAGCCTGGGCTACAGAGTAACTCCCCAAAACAGAAAAAAGGACAAAGAGACAGAGAGGCAAGGAAGGAGGGGGAGGGGATACTGCTGGCTGGGTTTCAGAGTTCATCCTTGGGAGGTGCAGACGGAATTCCTAGAACTGTCAAGAGTTGGACTGATCCTTGATCTGTAGCAGAGAAAATACCGACAGGCAAAACAAGGGAGACCTAAGGCCTGGAGTAAGTTTGTGTAAAGATACAAGCTATTGTACCAGTCTCCAAGGTGGAGCCCAAGTGAACAAACTTCCATAGGCTCACCCCACTCTTCAGGTTCATGTCCTGCAGCCAGAACTGACTCCCTGTGTGGCCCTCAAGTGGTAGCTAACCCTCACCGTGCTTTAGTTTCCTCCAAGAATTGGGTTGAGTATTAAAATAGGCAGTTCAAAAAAAATGTTCAACCAAAAGTTCAGGCCACCATAGGTGTCATCACCACTCTACTTTAGAATTTGGGGTCTCACACTAGCCTCCAAAAAAGGGAATTGGCTGGGTTCCTATCTCAGGTTTTGGGGAGTAGGGTCTTATTATGTTGCATTCTTAGCTCAATGAATAGAACAGTCATGGCTGGAACTCACAGATAAGGACTGGCTGAATCCATTACGGCAGCCTGTACCCGTTAAAGGAAGGAAGGGTGGGCAAGTGAATGGATGGTCGTTTGGGTGGACGGATGGATGGACGGACAGACGGACGGACGGATGGATGGACGAGTAGATGGGTATGTGGATCGGTAAGGAGGATGGATTGATATATGGATTGTGGGTGGATGGTGGATACATGGATATGTAGATGGGTAGGTGAATGTATGGAAGGGTGAGTGAGTGGAGAGATGATGGATGTGTGGGCGGGTGGATGGATGGGCTGATAAATGTAATGTGGTAAATGATGGGTAAATGTTTGGATGGGTGAGTGAGCAGATGGACGAATGGATGAGTGAATAGGTGGATGGGTGGGTGAATGGACAGAGAATGGATGGATGGGTGGATGGACAGATGGATGGATGGTAGATGGACAGATGGATGGATGGTGGATGGACAGATGGATGGATGGATAGATAGACTGACAGATGTATGGATGGTGGATTGATGGATGGTTGATGGACAGATTGCTAAATGGGTAGATAGACAGATGGGTGGATGAGTGGATGGACAGATGGATGAATGGTGGATGGACCAATGAATGGATGGGTGGGTGGACAGATGGGTAGGTAAATACCGGCTATGCCAATACTGGGAAGTCCTTAGAATAAGGTAGATCTATATTTTCCTAACTGGAAAATACATGCACCTCTATTTTATTAAGAAGCAACCTGGCTCAGTGTCTACCGACCAGTCTATGTGGCATGGCACCATCATGTGAGTCTATAAAAATGGCTGCTTAGATATATGTAACTACAGGTAGGGGAGTGCTGACCTGTGATCCCAGTGCTTGGCAGACAGAGGCAGGAGGATGGTGGGTTCCAGAACAGGCTAGTCTATATAGCTGAACCCTGTCTCAAAAGCAAGAGCCTAAAAAGCCTGGGTTCCAGTCACTTCCCACGTCACAGCTCTGGCTGGGCTGGCTGAGGAGAGATTATGGTGATGCCTCCCTGTCTCTTCTCACTCACTCAAGACACGTGCGATATGATGCTGGCTTTAACCTACTTGCATTTTCATTTTTTTTTTTAAACTGAGACAAGTACTCATGTAACTTGGCTGACTTCCAACTCCGTATGTAAATGAAGATGACCTTGAACTCCTGATTCTCCTGTTTCCTCCAACATGCAGGGTTGCAGGCATATTCCACCATGTGCAATCTATGCTGAGCTGCAGGTGAAACCCAAGGCCTCATTTATGCTAGATGGGCTCTCGACCAACCGAGCTACATCCCCAGCCCCTTAATCTTCTTTTAAAATATATAAGAAAAGGTTTCTTAGGAAAAATGTACACAGCAGCTACCTGCTGGCCTGCCTGTCCACAGGCGTCCTCAGGGCCACAATCATAGCTGGGTGCTCAGCATAGATTCTGGTTCAGATCTGGTGTCT